ATCACAACTTTCTGACAGCACATGGAAACTTTTGTATATAGCAGTATATGTGCACCTTCACGGGGACAAGGTCCGTAATTTTCAGGAGACTTTCAGGAGTCTCTGACTTCAAAACACTAAGAACAATTGTTCATTGATAATTATCCCAAACATCTTTGATGATTCCTGTGTTCAAAAAAATCTCTGGGTTCTGAAAAAACCCTGAATAGCTAAGGCAGTTCTACACAATAAGAACAAATCAGGAGATATTACGTTACCAGACTTCAGGTTACCCTATTAAGTCTGGAGTGATCAAAACAGCATAGTATTGGCATAAAAATACAGATACAGAGCTATGGAATTGAATAGAGAATCTATAGATGCAACCAGCCTAATATTGCCATCTGATCTTCAATAAACCAAACAAAAGCATACAGTGGGGAAAAGAATTCCTATTTAATAAAGTGGTGCTGGGAGAACTGGTTAGCTACATGTAAGACTTAAACAGGACACATACCTCCCATCACTTAGAAAAATTAACTCATGCTGGATAAAAAACTTAAACTAAATCTAAGACACAAAACAACAAAAAGTCTAGAAGAAACCTTCAGAGTATGAGAAGATGCTTATATGCTATATGTTACAAATCTGACAAGAAGCTAATAACCAGAATGTACAAAGAACTAATCAATAAAAAAAGAGCAAACAACCCCATTTATTATAGGGCAAGAGACATGAACAGTAAGTACCAGGACCTTCTTCCAAGACAGATGAATGGCCAACAAATATGAAAAAATGCTCATCATCCCTGAGAATCAGAGAAATGCAAATCAAAACCACCTTAAGGTATCAGCTAACCCTAGTGAGAATCGCCCACATCATGTAGTCCTAAAGCTGCAGATGCTGGTGGGGGTGCAGAGAGAAGAGAACACCTATACACTACTGGTGTAAACTAATACAGCCTTTTTGGAAAGAAGTATGAAGAATCCTCAAAAAGCTAAAAGTAGACCTTCCATTTGATCACACAATCTTCTTTCTACCCAGAAGAAAAAAACGCATTTTACCATAAGGACAGTTGCATTAGAATGTATACAGCACTTCAATTCACAATGGCCAACCCAAGTGCTCATTAACCCATGAATGGATTAATAAACTGTGGTCTATGTATACCATGGAATACTACTCAGCCATAAAGATAGAGACTTTAGATCTTCTGTATTTACCTGGAAGGATTTGGAAAATATCCTCCTAAGTAAAGTATCACAAGAATGGAAAGCATTCAATGTACTCAACACTAATATGAAACTTGTAGAACAACAACTGCTGGACCACACAAGAAAAAAAAACACAACTAGATTCAAGAAGAGGGGAAGGGGTTTGGTAAGCTCTCCCCTATCAGGTTCACTGTCAAGATACAAGGCACACCTCTTGGGTGAAGGAGGTCACTCTACAACTTGGACTCTTACCTAACAAATGAAAATAATGTAACCTAATCACATGTACCATTATATGAATCAAAAAAAATAATAATAATAATAAAAAAACCTCTGGTTTCCCAGTATCTATAACATATGATTTGAACTCTTTCAATATGTTAGTTAAAGCTCTCCATAATGTAGCTTAGCCATTACCCCAACTATCTGGAATTCTAAAGCTATTCTGACAATTTTCTTTTTGTATTAGCATTTACCTTTATGTATTAGCATTTACGATGCCTTCCAAGCTCTATAGAATGTTAACTAAAAGGTGAGAGCTGTGCCTTATGCCTCACTGTGACCATCAGTAAGTGGTACAGTACCTTACGTAAGTTAGGTGTTTTAATATAAATATCTACAAAGCTAAATTTAGGGCAATTTGACTATTATTAAAGATGAAAACTATATAAAGCAAAATATCTAAAGCCTGTGGCAATTTCATCCCCTGAAAATTATAAAAAGGTCAATCTAATCTAGTTATATACAAATTCATACCAACAAATCTTTCACACAAAAAGGAAAGCCATATATCTACATGAACAGATGTCTTCTAGGGTCTGTTTTCTCTGCTGCACATTCGAGTTGTCTTGGGCCACACATTAAATACATAAATATCAATGAAAGGTGATTGGCAAAAAAAAGGTTGCTGCATACTTTTCCTGATAGCTGACATCACAGATAAGCAAAAAAGTCCTCATAGTATCAGCATGCAGACTAGAGTTCAAAGGTTGGACACCCCAGCCTTAAAACAAATGAATGTTAAAAAAGCATTCTGGAGGGCAGCGCTGCCTATGGCTCAAAGGAGTAGGGAACCAGCACAATATGCCGGAGGTGGTGGGTTCAAAACCACCCCGGCCAAAAACTGCCCCAAAAGAAGCATTCTGGAGACTATAAAGCATTGCACAATATGAATTATAATTAATCACAATTCCTACAGCCCACTAATCTTAACTATAGTATATGTTTTAACTATCAGATTGCTTCTACTTTTTAAAAGAAGCTTCTTCTCATTAAAATAAAAGTATGGGTTAAAATTAATTAATCGAAACAACTGACAACCATCTTAAGAAGATTTAGAGAAGAAGAGAAGCCCAGGTTAAATTCAATTCTAAAAATGTAAAAAAAATGTTATCAACAGAATTGAGCCTGTAAAGGTTTATATTGTAAGATTATATTTAATATGTAATACCAAGTATACCAAACAGGTGTTAACTTGAAAAATTAAGACATAGAGATTCTGTGTTTCTCTTGGTTCAAATTTCAAATGGTTTTCTACACAGCAAGTTTTTTTACAAGAAGGAGTAACAAGACTTAATCCATTGAAGGAAGATACTTTATACTTCACATAGCAATTTAAACCACAAGAAAAAACAACTATTTTCCCAGCCAAAAATACTTGCTTATCTGAGTAGCTTCAAGGTTCTACAGTACATTGTTCTAGGCAGATGCGCAAGGGATAAGAAATGAGTGAAAGAGAAAGTTCTGGGGCAATTTTAACTGCTGAATAATTGCTTTTATTTTGTATAGGCTGTGACCTTCCTATAAGGGAAGGTGTGCTGATAACAAGTACGCTCATGGGCTAGTCAATTCCTCTTCTTCTTTTTTTTTTTTTTTTTTTTGCAGTTTTTGGCCAGGGCTGGGTTTGAACCCACCACCTCTGGCATATGGGGCCACGCCCTACTCCTTTGAGCCACAGGTGCCGCCCCAATTCCTATTCTTGTGCCTAAGACCATATGATGCTAATGATTCAGGAGTAAATAGCAGAAATCTACTCCTGAAAAAAAATTTTAAAATTCTGTGCTTACATATTTTGTTATACAAAGGCTTATTTACAGGTTATCAACTTATGTAAAAACATAAGAAATATTCTGGTTAAAAAAAAATACAACTACTTATTAGATGAGATACTCCAAAAATCGTTACCGAGAAAGTAGTAGTAAGTAGGAAGGATACAAAAAGCACGTACAATGCCAAAAAAATTTCTTATAATCAATAAGCCATGTTACAACATAAATTTTAATAAAACAGTTGTATAAAAACTAGTTTATATTCTTTGCATTTTTTAATACATTTTATCTTTCTCTAAAAGCTAATTAAATGACAGGAATCAGCTCAGACAATTTCACAATCAGTATTTAACTGGGCACATTATAAAACCTAGATATATGACAGAATTCAGCCTGAGTTGAAACAAATACTATGATTTAAAATAAAATGTAGGCTAGGCATAGTGGCATGCACCTGTCATCCCAGCTACTCAGGAGGCTGAGGAAGGAGGATCACAAGAGTTCCAGGATGCAGTGAGCTATATGATCACACCACTTCAGCCTCAGGACTAAAGTGAGAGAACCCTTCTCTGTAACTAACCAACTAGTTAACAATGATCCTCTACTTTATAAAGATATTGATTTATACACGAGAACAAAATGATAGGAAGTTCAATAAGGTAGACTAATTTAAATTCTAAGTACTAACTCTGCCTACTAAGGAACTGTGTAAACTTTTCCAAATATTTTCTTAACCTCTCTGGGTCTCAGACTCCTCTACTATAAATATTGAAGGTAAGAGGGTTGATTTTATGTTCTGTCATTGAAATTATGATTTGGTTCATATGAGCAAAAGTATTTACCCAAGAAAAAAATATGTAAACTCTCTATATGCCAATGGTGGTTAAAAAGAAAATGACAAAGCACTGGGTACCTAAGTACCATATGAACAAATATGCTTTTTTAAATTAATAATTTAAGGACAGGCATAGTTAAGTGTGTTAATAAAGGCATAATGACAACAGAAAACCACATGGCTAATAAAACCTCACTTTTTGTCTCAAAAATATTATAAATTAATGCTTCCTCTATTTTAGCATGTTGACTAACAACATCCTGTATGAACATTAGGAGCATGATAATATAAAACATATAATTACTAATTGATTCTAAAATTAAGCACACTTTTATTCTAAGAAAATATTTTTATAAAGGGGGAAGTCCATACCTTTGAATGTTCAAAGGGAGTATCCTAAAGTGAAAGTATACAACTATAAAATGGCTAAAGACTGCGTGAGAGTAGAATAACACTTCTACTGTTGTTCCTTATGAGATTCATTTGACAAAAAAGAAATCAAAAAAGTGTCAAATAATTCTACCTTCAAATTTTTTAAATCAAATATAAAACTGAAGAGGGAAGACGGGAAGCTTGAGACCTTAAAACCACCTAATAAACAAACTCCTTAAATAGTAGGATTCTGTATTCAGAGAGGGAATACTCAGATGACCTGCAAATATTAATGCTTTGATCATGACTTCTAATTCACTTACCAAGAGACTCAATGTATTTTAACAGGACTGTACTGACGTTCTTTCTTAGAAAATACAACATGGGATATTTATTTGCCAAGACTACAATATAACTTTTTCAATTCCCAAAATGAATCAAACAGATGATTACTTTAAGGTGAAACCTTACTCCTGAAAATTATGAAGCACAAAATATCAATTAAGATCTTCAAATAGGCCATCAAATTTGTTTTTTAAAAAAATGTCTTACTGTAATGAAGTCATTCCCTTTAACCATTCTTCCTTGGTAAAAAATCCCATGCTTTCAGCCTCCAATTTCCACGCTAAAACTAACATAATAATCTGGAAAGAACAGAACATAAAGGATAGGGGAAAAGTCAGCACAGAGATAATCATGTCTATATTTATCATGGAGAGCATTTTTATATAACTATTTTCAACTTTCAATGATTAAAGAGTAGTTGGAATTATTAACTATAAAGAAATTGAAATGTGCCAATTTCTTAAAAGTAAAAGGTTCTAATAGTTTCTGAAGGCAGAAACTCTATTACAAATGACATTTGTATCAAGAAGGAATACTTGCTCAACTTAAATTGATTAAAAAATACCCTAAGTGCAAATTTATAATATTAAAAATGAAGAAACAAAATTTTCACACAAGATTAGTGTCTTTATTTTTAGAAATTTGTGAATATGCTATACCCCACTTATAATCCAATCTACTTAGGAATAAAACATACATTTTCAGGTTCAACACCAATGTCTTCACAAAATTTTTCCATTCCTTCTGGCCCTACAACTTCATCAGGACCTTCAAAGACAAAAACAATGCATACATTTATCGTTATAGTTTAAGATTGAGATGAAACACAGCCATTCTATTAAATGCATCTATGAATATATCATAGTATTTGGTAAATAGTTAAATTTTGGCACTGCTTTGATAAAGTATAAATAACTGCTACAAGATTTTAAATTTGTCAAGTATTCTTTGAACACCACATTACAATATGAAATAAAGGAAATGTAGCAATAAAAAATTCCATTAATATAAATCATTTATATAAAAGCCTGAACCTAGCCATTAAAAAGACTATTTACTAATAACCTGGCAATGCTGGAATATAAAGAAACATAAGGCTGGAGCTTTTCTTTTTTTTTTTTTTTTTTGCCGGGGCCAGGTTTGAACCCACCACCTCTAGTATATGGGGCCTGCGCCCCACTCCTTTGAGCCATAGGCGCCACCCAGAAGGCTGGGGCTTTTTATCTGACTAGAATGTGTCAGAACCAATGCACAGTTCAATACAGTAATCACAAAGAGAATATGTTTACTTATTAATACAGAATATCATTCATTACCCTTTTGAAATATACTCAAATATAATTTAGTTCTTGAAAAAGATACATATATCATAAAAATAACTTATGAAAATTACTACATTCCATTTCCAGAAAGAGCTATTTTCCTTATCATCTTGGTTTTAAAATAGACAGCAAGGCATTAGTTATGTCACCTTAATGTAGAAACAAAAGTTTAATCTCACAGTTTATGTCTATCATCTGTCCAAAATTAATTACTGGTACTAAACTTGTTCCTTATTTTATTCCCTTAGAAACACTAAATATAAGTCAATATATCAACTCTTTTTTTTTTTATGTTATCAGACTCCCAAAATATAGTAATTACATAATCACTGGGTCTCATCTGTGAGTGGATTAAGACTAAAACAAATTTTGTAACTATATATGATACAAACATCTTTATTACTACGAACTTTTGCAAATATACTCTTGAAATATGTTTAAAATAGCCAAGAGACTTCTCTATCTTTTTTTTTATCAGGACCAAACATATCTCTCTGCTTTAGAATCACAGATCAAACCAAGGTGGCTTTTAAAGTACCACCTTTAGGTTACAATCACAACACAAAGCCAATGTCCTGCAGTTTTTCTTAACAAAAGAATGAAGCCATCCAGTATGTGGTCCATACATTCTTGCTGCCTGAGACGAGATCCAGGCTACTAAGACAACATTAATACACGTTCTGAAACCAACACCCTCTTTCAATTTTTTTGTGTCAAGGGTAAATGCCATGAAATGTAAATAAGTACTAACAAAGCACTGCAGTGTTAAAAGGTAAATGGGGTGATAATTGTAGAAGACTTTCACTTCCTAATATTATATATTTGTAGAATTGTTTTAATGAGAATGTGTCAATTTTACAATTTAAAAAGCATCTATATACAACGAAGTGTTAAAAAAATAGCTGAGTATGTATCTTTATATACATATATGGTTGGAAGAAAAAAAGCAGATAAAAAAATTTAAGGGAAGAAAACAAAGATTTTTTTTTTTTTAAAGCTATGATAGGAATATGGTCTAAATTTTTCTACAACAATAAAAAAAGCCAGACTTACCCTCAAAGTTTCCCCTAGTGATTAGAAGAGAAAGCTGAAGAATTACATCAAAAAGTATCTCTGTAGGCCAGGTGTGGTGTAATCCTAGCACTCTGGGAGGCCGAGGCAGGTGGAATACCTGAGCTCACAAGTTCCAGATCAGCTTGAGCAAGAGTGAGACCCCTTCTCTAAAAAAAAAAGATAGTTGGGCGTAGTGGTAAGCCCCTGTATTGCCAGCTACCTGGAAGGCTGAGGCAAGAGATCACTGGAGCCCAAGAGTTTGAGGTTGCTGTGAGCTATGACCACCATGGCACTCTAGCAAGGGCAACAAAGTGAGACTGTCTCAAAAAAAAAAAAAAAAATCTGTATAGCCCCCTAGAAACTGGGTGATTAGTTGATTAGTAATTAAAATTAGTGACTAGAATCAAATTAAGTTATGCAGAGATATATAAGATATATATATATGTATATATAAGACCTTATATAGATAAAGTCCATAAATGTTAAGTGACTTTCCCAAAGTGATGTAGATATTAACAGATCTAAGTCTAAAGCAAGGTCTATACCAGTATTTTTTCCCCAGTTGTTAATTAGATTTTTTTGTACCATATCCTTTCAATAAAAATTCTCCCTGGGTCAACTGCTGAAGATAAATGTAATTAACTCTTTCGAGCAACTAGGTTTTCATTCCATGGAAGAAACTATAAAAATGATTTTGTTCACTCTACTAGTTCCCTGTGCCAGCTAAATACTACAATAATAGGACTATTGCAATTCCAACCTTATTTTCTGATTCTTTATAAGACTTTAAAAGTCCTCTTTCACTTTCCATGTTTTTATTTACCTTAGGCCAAGTATATTACCAACTCCTTATTAATTTAAGTATCACTCAAGAATAAGAGGTCCTGGCTTGGCGCCTGTAGCTCAAGCCACTAAGGCATCAGCCACATACACCTAAGGTGGCCGGTTCGAATCCAGCCCGGCCAGCCAAACAACAATGATGGCTGCAACCAAAAAAAAAGTAGCCAGGCGTTGTGGCGGGCGCCTGTCGTCTCAGCTACTTGGGAGGCGGAGGAGGGAGACTCGCTTGAGCCCAGGAGTTGGAGGCTGCTGTGAGCCGAGATGCCACGGCACTCTACCCCGGGGGACTGCTTGAGGCTCTGCCTCACAAAAAAAAAAAAAAAAAAGAATAAGAGGTACTGTGAAAGGGCAAAACCATAATCAGGCTTATCAAAAATGACCTATAATACATAGTAACAAATTTACTGATTTTTCAAAACTAAAAGAAAAATAAACACCATCTATTTCCTGATTTCCTTGTAACCGTAAGAAATGTTTCCAGCTATATTTGTGGAGCCTAATACCATGCCAGCCATAACAGATGCTCGGGGGAAAAAAAAGTACTCAGTGACAAGGCACCTTCAACATGAGCTTCGTAAAACTGGTTGTTAATTTTGGAACAGTACTGTAAAAACACACAACCAGTAAACATGATGCTGTAATACTATTACTGTTTAATAATAACAACTAATAATTATGGCATTCTGAATATATACCCTGTACTGTGCTGAGGACTTTACATCTATTCTCAGGCACAATAACTGTCACCATTTTAATAAGGACATCCATCCTTAAATTTTAAGACAGAATAGTTACTGCTTATTTAAAAAACAATTGTTTCCTCCCTGATCAGTTCTCTGCCCAAAAGAGTCTCTACAGAAAGGCCTTCACAAATCACTCTGAAATCTGAAAGCCTAGCTGACCCTTTTACTCTCTATTCCTGACCCTCATCATATTTATTACCTTTATAACCCTCTAGAATCTGTAATTATGTCGACTATATCTCTTTACCTACTGTCTTCCCCACTAGAAGACAAATGCTCCAAAGGCAGGGACCTTGTCTGACTTGTTCACCATTATATCCCAGCACTCAGGAAGAGTGCCTGACTCATAAACCAGTGCCCAATAATATGTTATTTATCAAATGATAGAAGATAAGTTAATTTCAAATGCACTAATATTTTCTTTGTAAAAATGAAAATTAGTTGCCATGTATAGTCATGTATGTATTTAAATTAAAAATGAATGTTATAAGACACAATAGTTAAAAGCATGGACTTTAGAGTCAGTATGACCTGGTTTGTAGCCTGGGACTTGTCACTGCATAATCTTGGGCCAACTATTCAGATTTCTCATCTATACAATGGGAATAGACCATAGAACGGTCATAAGTAAAAATTATATACTTAGTACAATTCCTAAAGTAATTATATATTGGCTATTAAAAAATGGTAATATAGGAAATAAATATTTAATTAGAATCTTATGCTACTTAGAAAGTTCTTAGGAGAGGCAAACCAAGTAAAATAAAGGAAAATAATTTATTATTTTTATGGTACTTGGAAACCCTTATAAGTAAAATAAAATGAGTGACCTTCTGGTTTTATTTTATGCATACCAGTAAAACTGGCATTTTGAATAATGAGTCAACAGTTTAAATGGAGGTCAGTAAGAAAATGAATTCTCTTCATTTAAATTAGGTTAGTGGTTGTCTTGGGATGCCAGTAATAGCATTTTTTTGGGTCTAGAAAAAATCTGTTCTGTTACTAAACAATTTTTAAATTATACTTTTGGGATCACACACCTAATCTCATCAGTCAAGTTACTGCTCCCCTTTCAAAATACAGTTAGCCTAAACTTGCATTTCAAGTTCCAGGTACACTTTAGACCTTAACATGGAGTAGCACTAAATATAAGGCAATAGCTACATAGACACTTTTATTTTAAACAACATTTGAGAATGACAGTGATAAAAAGAAGGGGAAAAAAACAAAACAAATAACAAAGCAGGTAAGAAGAAGGAAACAGGGAAGGGGGAGGCAAAGTTTTAAAATCAATTACTCCAAAACACCAAAACCATTCTAAGAAAACAAAAATTTCACGAATGTTTATGAAAAAGTTAGTGTAAAGCAAAATACTTGTTCTTTTGTACATTTTCGCTTACATGCTCAGTAAGCCTCCTGCCTCGTGCCTGGCTGACACTGACTTTCATGCCTAGGTTATGGTCTCACTCTGGGCCTACCATCATCAATCACTTATAGGATTTAGCAGAGTTACCTCAGCTCCTCCAGAAAACTTCTCTTGCCCCTTTAAAAACTGGGTTATATATCCTTGCTATGAAGAGTTTATCTAACATAGTATTTATCATGCTATGTTCATATTAGTCTATTTACTTTCTTACTTATGCATTGCTAAAAGAAATGAATAAGTAAAAATCATTAAAGGGTAAATGTGCTGTGTAATATATAACTTAAATCTTTACTCTGTTTTCCTGAAAGTTTCAGAAAATGTTAGTTTGCAGCTAAGAAAAATTACAAAAATAAGAATATTTAACAGAATGTCTTAGTATATACTTTTTGTTTTCCAGAATACTACTTTAGCCAATGGATATAAATTAATAAATGAATCTGAATCTGTCCATTTACAAATTTTATTAATACTAAATGAGTTTCTCCCCTTCCACTAAATATACAGTATACAGAATATACAGAGGGTGCCAAAAAAAGTATACACATTTTAAGAAAGGACAAACTGTATTAAAATTGTAATACTCAATATGTACTGATTAAAAAAAGATGACAAGTCACATCTGACTTTTGCAAATACAAGAGGTATTCAGTATATACATACAATGTAATATATAATATATAAATAACATCTCTTATAATGTATATACATTTTTTGGCACTTCCGTACATTTACAGAAATACCAGTCTGAAATGGCACCAAATTTTCATCCTACCCACAATCCTCAGTCTTGACCCTGACCCCATCCCACAAGCACTAACACACAGCAGGCCTGCAACAAATGATTTGTCAAATGAATAAATCAAAAAACTTTTAAAGCATATGACTGAGATCTTCTTATATTAATTTCATTACCTGCATACTCATAAAACCAAGCCAGGCACTTCTTGCTTGAAAAATGTTCCTCTCCACTTATTAGTCTAGCAGGGGGTTGGGATCTGCAATAGCTTAGAAAACACACAAATGCCTAAGATTTTTATCAAGTCTCAACTCTTATTGAAAAACTAAGTTCAAATGAACTATTTCAATTAGACAATAGTGTTTTTTTCCTTAACTGGTGATATTACAGGAAAAAAAATGGAGTTAAGTATTTGCAATTTGCAACAGTGGTCTATACACAAGAATTTCTCGCTAATGAAACCCAAATGCTACTTCGATCGCTACCAAATTCCAAAAATATCAACTAAAATTTACTTCCCACATTTTAAAAGACTACATGTAGAAGTTCAACCTCAGTCTCAATGCAGGAGTAGTAGCTGGAAAAGTACAAATCTTCATTGTGATTCTGCTACTGATTTGTACAGAACTTGTATTTACGTATAGATATATATTTGAAAACAGAATCTTACGAAGTATACTTTGATACTTAATATTTCAAAATAAAATGCTATAGTAAGAGTCATTTATCATCTACCAAACTTAAACAGATTTTTAAAGATAAAACTTTCTTTTTTTTTTTTTTTTTTGCAGTTTTGGCCAGGGCTGGGTTCAAACCCGCCACCCCATACTGGGGCCAGCGCCCCACTACTTGAGACACAGGTGCTGCCCCAGATTTTTAAAGATAAATGGTGACTCAGGTTATATCAAATTCTACAGATTAAAAAAAGGCAGAAAAATCTCTAAAAGTTATTAATGTTTCAAATAATGGCCAAGGTTATTTAATCTTAGATTCTGTTTTTTTTCATAAAGTCATTTTCATTATTTTTCATAAAATCATTAAAATCTGGGAAGTTCAAAAATGGCCTCTAGGATTTAATGGACTTCAGAGACTCTTTTCTCAAGGAATTCAAATAACTAACTACTACAATGCTAGAGAAATGCCAGAGTGTCTGCAATTAAGCAATTTAGTGTACAGTAAGCATCCAATATTTAAAAATTTAAACTGACAAAGAGTCATCTTAGTATTAATAATCTGACTGCTTAGCTATTTTAACGTACTTAATTTAAATAATTTTGATACATAACACACTTAAGAAGGGCAAAAGTTAGTGCAGTAAGAAACTAGTAACTAATAATTTGCCTGTTTTATAAAAATATGAACTACCAAAATAATCACGTCAATCATAACGTTAGCTACCAAGCCGTATAAGCGTATCATCTTTCATGTTTTTTACTAGCCCAAGAAATACTTGTTAGCCTTCTTTGCCAAAGCACAGGAACAAAGGGAAAAAAAATTACAAAAGAGAAGATGCAGGCTAGATAACTAACCTACCTCACATTTTAAGCAGTAGATCTCTCTTTAAGGAGAGCTCTACCATTATTTTCTCCTTACAATGCTGGTTACTGTTAATGGTAGCATCTAAAGTTGTCATATAAAGTGACAAGCACTGATAGACATCCATTAAGATTTTTTAAAAGTCCACATCTCACATCAAAATTGCAATGATTTTTTGGCAGCATACAAAAAAAAAAAAAAACCGTGATGCCTCGTTGACATGCTACAATGAGGCCAAAGAGCTAAGTATACAGTTCTGCCTGGTCGCCTTGTCTCCTTTTTCACAAGAGGATACAGAGTACAATAGCTCTGTACAAATTATTAATATTTATGCTGACAGCGAACAGCGTTCTAAACGCTAGAAAACAAAAAGCATGCATAGCCTTTCCAACTCTGTACAAAAGGACTTGGCACAGGTGAGGCACTATATTTCCAGAAAATAGGGCTCGGGCAATTTAAAAGGCCTCCTGCTGAGACCTTCCGGGTTAGGCCACTCCAAATACTAAATGTGGAAGCCAATTATAGCATGTAAGTTTTCCTTTCTACCATTCCCAAGACAGTTGTCAAGATTCCTCACGCTCTGCTCCTTTCTTGACACTCTACAAAGAAATTCGAGAATTAACCCTTTAGCGGATCTGTACTCTTTTCCAGGTTGGGGAAAGAAGGGTGGAAGGCCGTGGGGATGGGGGAAAAAGCGCAATTTACATGCATCTGTTTCCCCACCCTCCAGTGCACGTAGAACCCAAACGTGGGGCGGCTCTTCCAGTTCCTCCATATATGCCAGAGCGCACGCACGCGAACACGAGGTCGGGTCGGCAGCGGACTCGCAGTGCTTGCTCTGCACCTACCGGCTGGCCTGAGCACTGGGGCCTCACCTGTCTCCAGCCCGAGGCCGGGAGGCCGGGAGGCCGGGCCCGACTCCTCCTCCAGCGTTCAGCAGAGGAGGAAGGAGGAAAGCTTGAGGGGTGGGGGGAGGTGGTACCTGGAGATTTTACACTTTTTGAGGCCTCCGTCTTCCGCTACTGCTGCTGCCACCCCAGGGGATTTTCTCTTCTTCTTCACCGGCATCTTCTGCCCTCCCCGGCAGGGTGGGCAGGGGAGCCGGGGAAGAGGGTCGTTGTCCGCTGGAAGCCCCTCAGCGCCGGCACCCAGTTCCCAGAGACAGCAGCAAGCGGAGGAGCAGAGTCGCCAGCCCGCACCGGCGCAGCCCAGCCGCCGCCCGCTCCCAGGTCTCCTCCTCGTCTTTCTTTGCCCAGGACAGGGGTGGCTCCTCACCGGTGGACACTGCAGTTGGGTCTCACCGGGAGGAGATAACGCGGACAGCGCGGCAGCTCCACCAGACAGAGAGAGCAGGGCTCAGCCTCACCCGGATGCGGATCGCTCGGTCCGGACGTGACGCAGCGCGGAGCGGTCCCGGGGGGCGTGGCTCCCGCTGGCCACGGCGCCCGGTGCCCGGCTACCCGCGCGTTAACGCCGCGGAGGCAAGTGAGCTTCGCAGGTGGTGACCTGCCCTCCTTTAGCTTCCACCCCGGCCTGATGTCGCCGCCAAGAAATGAAACTTCTAATACTCTGCCGTTGGCGTTAAAAGTAACTTGGTAAGGTAGACCAAGTATCCGTGCCGAGCTCTACGCGGTAGCCTTACTTGAAGTATTCCCTCCCCTTAAATGCATCCACGCCCGGTAGCCTGCATGTTTTACCGGCCTGCAATCAGCCGCCCACTCCCCTATCCCCACTTCTTCCTCTAATCCGACTTCTGCTTGTCATTTTCTCGCGTATTGAAACTTACCTCTACTATTTCTGTTTTCACAAAGTTCACAGCTCAGATAAGAGACAGTAGGTGGCTGCTGACCTAGTAGAGTGGAATTTGAGGGTCAGTTCTAATGGGCTTCCTCGTACACTTTACCTCTGCTTCATAGAAATATTGTTTATATGTAAGGGCTATTGTATATGGATATATAATAGAAAGTAGAAATATGTATGTAAAACAAGTTCACCTTCAAACCCACTATGGGGCTAGAAGACTAGAAGTCTAAATTTAATAACACAGTAGTTCTACTGAGACTACCTCCACTTTGGCACCCTAATCTGGCCAATCAGAATAGTGTTTAATAGGTTTGGGATTGACGCATGACCTAAGCCAGGCCAACGAGTGCCACTGACATAAAATTGAACCATTAGGAAGCAACTTTATTTCCTGTAGACTTGAACTTGAGAAGGTGTGGAGAATGAAGCCGAAACTCAAAAGAGACCAAGATGGAGCAGAAAGAAAAACTGAAACAGGGTTATATGATATGAGCCCAGAATCCATGATATGCCCTGGAATTTTCGATTATGTTAGCCAATAAGTTTCGCTATTTTGCATATGCTGTCCGAGGCTCTGTTACTTAAAACAGAAAGAATGTTAAAGCCTGAGGTGCTTTAACCTAATTAAAAATGCATGAGGCCAAAAAATCAAATCAGAATCAGATCAAGTCTCAAAATAGGATTACCCTCTAAAAATGTAGAGGACAGAGGAAGGTATGAAACACCCTTTGCAATCAGCAAACTCTACACTGTGGGAAAACCTATAGGATAAATGACCCAGATTCTGCAACAAACTAATAGGAAGAGAATAAAGAAATTAAAAGAGACTTAAAGGATATATCAATTGTTTTCAATATGTGTTTCTTATTTGAATTTTGATTCAGGCAAACAATATAACATTTATGGGACGATTGGAAATCCATAGTTGGATATATGATGAATTTCTAGAACATATAAAATGTATCGGTAGGGACAACATTATCAGTGATAGTTGGGGCTCGGGATGGAATGAGTAAGGAGGAAGACTGACTGCAAAGAAGCACAAGGGAAATTTTTGGATTATGGACTTATTCTTTGTCTTGATTGAGATATTGATACATGTACTTGTCAGAATTCACTAACTGTACAGTTAAAAATGGATGCTCTTCATATATGAATATTATTCCTCAAAGTTGATATAAAATGTGCAGAGCAAAGCAAAACACATTATAATGACAAAATAGAAATAGCCAAGTGTGTTTTTTCAAGAAATTAGTTACAAAAGCTAAACAGCCTTTTTCCCAAGGAGGACTAAGGAAATGGAATAAAACTTAAAAGTCAGAAACAAAAATCTCAATTCAAAGAAGATTCTTCCAGAGAGTATAGTCACGTCCTAATCAAAGGGTAGGAAATTCCATAATGCCTGTCTAGCAAGATACCAGCATTGCTGTAGAGCAGTGAGCATTGTACAGCTCTGTTCTTTTCTAAGAATTTCTATTGTAATAATTATGTCCCTTCTCCTCCATTATATATCGAGTGAGAGTGGGAAATAGATTATGTCTTAGTTCATAGGTCCTTGGATCATAAGGAATCACTTTTAGACCTAAGGAAGAGGACTCCACCATACCTGGAGATTCTGGTCACTAGTTGAATGTAGTGACTCGATAGAAGCATACTTACATCTATAGAATTGTCCAGAAAAAAAAAAATAGAAGGCTGGATCTATGTATGATATTTAGTTAGTTTGTTGTTCAAATAATATTTATTGACCACTTAAACCAGGAACTTTTCTGGGCAGAGATGACTCCTGAAGTCATAAAGTGACAAGTCTGGAGTGGGAAATACAGTAGTGTGCTATGTAACATTTCAGTAGATGTTGGACAACATTAATGGTCCTTTAAGATTATAATATATTTTTACTGTACCTTTTTTATGTTTAGATATGTTTTCATACACAAATAATTAACCATTTTGTTATAGTTGTTTACAGTATTCAGTATAGTAACATACAGATTTGTAACCTAGGAGCAATAGGCTGTATCGTATAACATAGGTGTGAAATAGCTATATTTCCTAGGTCTGTATAAGTGCACTGTGTTTGCACAATGATGAAATTGCCTAACAATGCATTTTTCAGAACACATGTCTGCCATTTGGCATCACATGACTATATATATAGGCTAACTATAGGCTATCTGAATAAAGAATAGGGTCCTTAATCTATCAAGGGGAAGGGAATGTTCAGCATCATATAGACCATTCATATGCATCTACCTCTTTTTCTCTGGCCAGTACCTACTGCCACCCCCAAATCTCCAGTCTCTAAAGTGGGCTTTCTAGCATCCCAGTTATTCTGTCTTATTTATTTATTTCCGATTAATAGGGGGGTGCAAATGATTAGGTTACATTGTTTGCATTTGTTAGGTAAAGTCCAACTTGTAGTTGAGCCCTTCACCGAGAGGGTGTGCTGTATACCATTACATTGTGCCCATTAGGTGACAGCACTCCAGTCCCCCTCTGTTCTCCCCTATCCCTCTCTCCTCCACCTCCCCCACCACTTAAATTTAATTGTGTTTTTCTTTCATGTAGGGATATAGTTATTTATCTATTGGTTTCATATTAGTATCTGCATATTGGATGCTTGCTTTTCCATTCTTGTGATACTTCACTAAGAAGAATGTTATTCAACTCCATCTAAGTAAATACAAAAGATGAAAGTCTCCATCTTTTTATGACTGAGTAGTATTCTGTGATATACATATACTACAGTTTATTAATCCATTCATAGTTGATGGGCACTTGGGTTGATTCCTTATCTTGGCAATTATGAATTGAGCTGCCATGAACACTCTAGTGCAAATGTCTTCATGGTAAAATGTTTTTTTTTTTTTCTTCTGGGGAGATTGCAGGATCAAATGGAAGTTCTACTTTTGGCTCTTTGAGGATTCTCCATACTTCTTTCCCTAGAAGTTGGAAAGTCTCAGTCCCACCAGCAGGGTAAAAGTGTTCCTTTCTCTACACATCCATGCCCGTATCTGCAGCTTTGGGACTTTGTGATGTAGGCCATTCTCATCATCCCAGTTACACTCACAAAGAGGCATATTGGTAGCCTCATTGCCTATGAGCAATATAGAAATGCCTAGTTATGTGGTTTTAATTTTTTCTACTGCTCACTAACACAGGCATGATTTTCCATCTGCTTAACATGGAGAAACAAACTATGATGAAGTATTAACCTGAAGCAGAAACTTGTGTGTTCTGGTTTCAGATCCAAAGAAGACACTCATGACTTATCTGTTGGAGGTTATAAAACAAAGCCATAAAGATCTTTTAAAACAGGGTGGCACCTGTGGCTCAAAGGAGTAGGGTGCCAGCCCCATATGCCGGAGGTGGCAGGTTCAAACCCAGCTCCTGCCAAAAACTGCAAAAAAAAAAGAAAATCTTTTAAAACAGTATGTTTGTGCCACGGTGGCCAAAAATAGTGCTGTAAGATGTGCTGATTTATAGATTCTGAACATAGTTTAGTTCTTCTTAACACCTCTTTAAAATAGGACTTTCCACTTGCCAGAATAACAAGCAATATAGACCTTAAGTGATTTCTGGGATGTCACGTGTTATTGTGATCTTGAATCCGTATAAGTGCTCTCCTTTCTATACATTAATGTTTGTTTTTAAAACAACTTTGTAGGTCAAAATGTTGTGAAGTATTTCCATACATAAAAATCTTAAGAAAGATGACTAGGTAAACAATAGCAATGGGATATCAAAGCAGATTTTCTATTTTGGTATTTCAGTGGAGCCTACAAGAACTCCTAGTGTTTTGTAGGGACCAGAGTGCAGAACTATGCAGCGCATGCCACTCAGCGCCGGTCCTAAGGCAGTGTACTGGGCCACTTCAGTGTTAGTTGGAATGTGACTAGTTCATTCTAGGACCCAAACTGAAGGAATAGCCATTGCCTAGAACATTGCTTGCCAGTATGACAGAGGCAAAGGAAAACATGGTAAACCCCATGCAGACCGTTCAAGGTTATGCCTTGAAGCAACAGAGATCACTACTCTTCAAGTCACGTGGCTACACTTGAGGTTGCTATGACAGGAACATAAGAGGGGCATCAAATAAGGGTAAATGTAGCCTTCCACAATAAGGGATTTTATTCAAGGTGCATGGAAAAATGAGTTCACAGAGAAACTTTAAAGGGATAGTAGGGGAAAGCATAAGATTGGTTTCTGTTTATAATTCACTGTAATAGATTGTATTTTTCCGACAGTGGTCACAACAATTACTCTCAGCCCAGATATTCTAGAATCTAGCCATTCCCTATCAAAAAGTGGAATCTAGTTAATAATAGGTCAGGTGTGGTGGTTCACACCTCTACATGAATGTTGACTCATTAATTGTGGGAAATGTATTATATTAAAGTAAGACATTAGTAATAGTGAAAATTGTGTATAGGATATATGAGAACTTTCTGTAGTGTCATATCATTTTTTTTATAAATCTAAAACTCTTGTAACATAAAATATATTATTAAAATGTTACAGGGAGCAAGAAAAAATAAAATTAGAAAATAGTGAAGTACAGGAAGAAAGTAATAACTCAAGAGAGTCCCTTAGGTTG